GAAACTAGAACAGAAATTGGTACCAGAAGTGGGCTGTTGGCTGTGAAGAACCTGACCATGTGGGATTTTGGAGGAATGTGGAAGACTGGAAGTTTTGGCTAGAAAAGTAGTTGATTGCTGTAAGCAGAGTTTAAAAGGCCATTCTAGTAGGTGCCTGGAAGAAAGCAGTGCTGAAACCATGTAGTTCCAGAGGGAAATAAGGACTTAAGCAGCAATTAGGATATTTTGGTGAAGATCTGGCTGGAGTCTACCCACAGGCAAAAAGTTTGCCAGAGGCTATGTTGAAAAGCAATGGACTAAGTACTTTGGTGGAGGATATTTCAAGGTAGCCTAACATAGAAATGGTCGTGTGGTTATTAATGGTGAATATTATACAGATCTACATTGAAAAAGAGCAAATGGGACAGAAAGAAATGCAGAATGTAGTTTGGATTGAAAAACAGCACTAGGAAGATTAATGTTGGAGACAAGGCATGTGCTGAAGGAAAGGATACCTTTGATAAGATTAGAGTGATTGAGGCCTAGAGATTTACACTTAAAAGTGGAGAGAATACTTCCAGGGCAAGACCACATCCAGCTAAGCCTCCAACTTGTGAAAAGAAATGGTGGGGTTTTCTACTCCTAGAAAACCACAGCAGAGAAGAGCTTCAAAAATGGATGAAACAGGCCACGGTCCACCCCAAACTTGCAGTCAAACTTGGCAGTGTCATTTACCTGGTGCTGGCTTTAGAGGTATGAAAGGTACAAGGGTGAAGGGGTCATTGGTTCTTCCTCCATGGTTTCAGAGAGCCACTGAGGCCAGGCAGTGTGCAGCAGGGGCATCCCTACATAAAAAAGGCCTGATAGGCTACTGTGTGGAGCTGTGAAGGTGAAGCCTGGTTGGCAATGGAGACCCTAAGAAGACATTCATGGTGCCAGAGCTGTGAGACACCTGCCAAGGAGAGCTGCATACAGCGAGTGGTACCAGCCCAAGACAGAGATGAGAGATGTTATGTTTCATACAGCAAAGCTGGAGAGGCTGAGCCATTTAAGCCCTTGGGAAGTAAAGTTCCAGAAGTTAGACATGGAGCTACTGGATTTGGTGTTTGCCCTGCTGGTTTTTGGTCTTGTTTTGGTCCGGTATTTCCTCACCATGCCTCTATTCCTCCCTTTCGAATGGGAATGTGTATTCAGTTCCACTGTATGTTGGGCCTGGTGGTACAGGCCTGTAATCCCAGCTATCTGGAGGCTGAGGCAGAAGGCAAAGTCAAGGCTGGCTTGGGCTACAGAGTGAGCTCAAGGCCAGCATAGTCAATTTAGCTAGGTCCTGTCTTGAAATGAAAATTAAAGTGGGCTGGAGATAAGCTCAGTGGTACAGCACTTTCCTGGCATGTATATGACCCCTAGACTCAGTCCCCAGAACCCACTGCCAATTTCACTTGACTTTAACCTATCTTTCAGTTTTAATGGCATAAAATTACATTTTTCCCTCACTAGGTAAATCCATGCTATTTGTTTCATCAGTAAGGGTAATTTAGCAATTGGAACAATGTAAATGCTGTTTGTTTGTGTTTTTAGAAACACTATTTAAATAAAGAATTTTCCTTCCCAAGCTTTCAGATCAAATCCTCTGTGAGGTCCTGGATACAGTATTTCAAAGGAATAGCCCTTTGTGTTGCAGAGAAAATGAAACTGACAATCAGGAGAGACATCCAACTGGGCATACTATGGAGGTAACAAATGATACTTTACAAATGAGCCTTAACAATTACAAAATAAAATGCTCTGAACTTAAGAGGGGATCAAGTATCTGTGGCCTAAAGTTCCCTGTTCTAGTTTGCTTCCTATTGCTGTGAAAAAAACACTCTAACCAAAAATTTGTCAAGTTTATTGCATCTTACACTTTCAAGACACAGTCCATAAGTCAGGGCAGGAACCTGGAGGCAGGAACTGAAGCAGATCATGGAGGGATGCTGCTTACTCACTTGCTGCTCTGGTCTGTTCTCAGCCTGCTTGTTTTATATAGTCCAGTACCAAGTGCTGGGGGGTAGAACCACCTGTACTTGGTTAGGCCCTCTTACATCACTTAACAGTCAAGAAAAGGCTTCACAGACGTGCAGACACGCCCACAGACCAATCCAATAGAGGAAATTCCCAATTAAGGTTCTCTCTTCCCAGGTGTGACACAGTCTGTGATTTAATATGTGGTTGGCAAACTGTAGTAATCCTCAGGCCAGATCCAGGTCTCTTTTGTTGTTGAAACACCACCATATGCATTTTTTGACATACTGCCTGGTGGTTTCAGATGCCAATGACTAATTTATGGAGGAACAAAAGACGTTATGTTCGTAAAGAATTAACTATACATTCTCTGGCCATTTACACAGTGTGTCAACCCATGGTACATTCATTATGTCACCTATGTCAAACATCCATGTGCTTCTCACCTTCCATCACCATGGGAAAATATAGCTTGCCTCAGTATCTGAAGTTCTGTACCTGAATATTTAACCAGTTTCAGGTCACACATTGTAAAGCGTCATCTGTACTAAACAGATTTCTCTTGTTATTACTCTCTGTAACATACTACATGGGCGGATGTGCATAGGTTATATAGAAATTCTACATTATTTTGTACTAAGGAGTCAAGCATTGTGGATTTTAGTATCTGAGGGGTCCTGGAACCAACCCCTTTAAAATAACAAGGCATTTCATGGTCCCACTGAACTTTGGCTTGGCTGTGAGAGTTGCTTTACCAGTGGAATGTTGGAAAAACATCAGTGTGCAAGTTCTGAAGCTAAGCCTGATGTCTTCTAGCCACTGCTCCTCCAATGGTAGAATGAGACCTGGAACAAACTCCAACCAACCTGCATGAGGAAACAATGCTCCCTGTTGAGTCTATGGCTATTTGCTGTGAAGCAAAAGCCAGTCAACACAGAGGGCCATTATAGTTCTTTAGGCTTTCTCCCGGAGATCGGATTTCTCTTGACAGGTGGCACAAGGCAAGACCAGAGTGGTTCATTCCCTTCTGGGCTCTATTTCAGACCTCAATGGACTCAAGTGGAACAAGTTTCATTCTTTCATGGTGAGTTCACATTCAGGTCTGACCTAGAGGCCTACTAGGCCACTGTAACAAGAGTGGAAGCCAGTCAAAATTCTTTCAGCTGATTTTGAGCCTCCAATAACAGAAAGAGGGAGGCCAGGTCCATTGGGAAGCACAAGCCAACCTTCTTCCAATCTAGCTTTTCCAATAAAGCTCGGTTTGACTCCTTACTTGACGCCAAAGTGTCTATTTAATTGATATAAAATACTTGAGGCAAAAATGATGATGAGCTTCAGAAGCTTCACTAGGATAAAGGTCTGTGGAAACAGTGTACAAATTTCAGAATGTAATTGCCTAGCACTGAGATGAAATGGTTGGAGTATATGCTCAACCTCTTAGAATAAGTCTTTATAGAATTCTTGTCATTCCCTTCAAATTATTATAAGCCAAGTTCTCATCACTTTTCTGCAAATCATCAAGGTAATTTTAGTGGTCCATCTATCTCAAAAAAGTCCACAAACTTGTCCCTGAGAGCCCTGAACACAGCTGCCTTGGTGTCAGGCGTTCAGCCTTTCCCTTGCTGCCTATGCTGATAGCTATCCTTCTATCAAATCTTTCTGTAGCAAATTTGTGTTTTGTAGTAAAAGCCAAGTTGATACAGAGCTAGTGTATAGAATGAGCAATCAATAGACTTGTGGGTACTTAGAGTAGCATTTTAAATCTAGAATTTTAATTTCTGGATATAACTCTTACAAGATATATAGTACCTTTTTTTGAGATGGTCTGTGTAGCCCTGGCTAGCCTGGAACTTATTATACAGATCAGACTGGCCTTAAACTCAGAGATCTGCCTGCCTCTGGCTCCTGAATGTTGGGATTATAGATGTGTACTACATGGGGATAGCTATGTAGTAACTTAAAAATTTTGGGGGGATTTATTTTTCTAAGTGTTTTGCTTGCATGTATGTTAAGTGCATCCATGTGTACAATGCCTGTGGAGGCCAGAAGGGGGCATCAGATTCTTTGGAAGTGGAGTTACAGGAGGTTATGAGCTGCTATGTGGGTGCTGGGAACTGAACCCAGGTCCTCTGCAAAAGCAGCCAATGCTCTTAACTGTGGAGCTCTCTCTCCAGCTCCGCTACATAGTGATTTAATAAATCTCAACATGTTAACATTTGAATCAGTTTACCAGACAGACATAAATGCCTGACATAAGTGTAATACTGCTACTGATAAGATTTATAGGGTGTGAAGAATCACATTATAGATATTACTCCTACTGATTAGCAAAGAGGCATGCAATGTATTCAGAATGTCACTCTTCTATAATGATATTCAAACACATTTCAAGAAAAAGCTAGAATTTTCATTTCTGGAGTTTTGGCAACATTTGCTTCTGCTCTTTCCCAACCTATTTCAAGTGTCAGAGGATATAATAGCCTAAGACGTCAGCACAATGTTTTAATCCTAATAACAGTTTACTAGGCTTAAAACTTAAGTCTTTTGCCTGCATCTAATTCAACACCATTTCATTTGTGCCTAACTACTTTTCTTCTCAGAGGTGACCATTTCTAGACCCTTGGGCCTTGTTAAGGAGCTTAACATCTCTTTTGGGAATGAGTTTTATGACAGAATTCACTATAATTGCCCTCAAATATTGGCACCTATGTGTTCAGCACATGGGGAAAAATGCATGATCCTCCCTTTATTCTTAATAAACATGTACTTGGAGGAGAAAATGATTTACCCTGAGATAACAAGGACACAAAAATAATGAAACTAGCCTGTTGCGTTACTTCCTGGATCTCTGCCTTATCCTTTCCACACTAATAGAGGCTGCATATGTTAATTCTTTATGAATGGTCAGTGTACTTATTTAGTACTGAAAGGGTAAATGACTAAGTACACACCAAAACTCAGAAGTGTCTCACACAGCATTTAATAAACTGATAATCAATAAAGTAAGGCAAGATTTAGAATGGAGCTTAGAAGCGGTTTATTGAGTTTTAAATTGATGTTGGAAAACAACTAACACACCTGCTAGGAGCAGCAGTGAAGGCTTGGTGTTCAAATGCATAAGAAACACCAGGCTATGCTAACACTAGGAGTAGAGACACTAGAGCCTCGTACTCAAGTAATTACAAGTGACACCTATTCCTTTACATTAAGGGCACTGTTGTGAGATGAAGGTAGCATAAAATCAAAAGGAGTAATTTACTATTCTCAATTCATTGTTCCGTCTGACTGTATTAATACCACATCAAGTATCAAAAATACTTTAAGGCAAATTTAAAACACTCAGACTTTATTTTATCACTGTTATTTAAGCTTGATTTTTATAAAACATTTAAAATTATTAAGAGGTCCTTATTACAGAAATTAAGCAGTACAAATATCCATTGCTTTGTGGGTTCATGGTATATACATTAAAATCAAATAATTACAATTTGTTTCAACATGGGATATATACAATGGCAGAAATAACAAATAGATCTAATAAAGCAGTATTTCACTAATTTCAGAAACTAAACAAAGATTCGGACAAACCTCTTTTGCTCTATTTATATTCAGATACCTCTCTACATATATTGAGTCAAGCTACATGACCAAAATGATCAAGGAAAGCATTGAGGTTTATAACAATTACTATCTACAATTACCCTTTAAAGGATTTCACTTTCCAAAGTTGACAAAATTCATTGGCTCCTCTTGAATAATGTACAGCACTCTCATGGTATTGAGTCTACAGAAGGTCAAGCACGAACCCAAGAACTGGAACAATCAGGCACATTTATTAAAGTACACTGCTGGCTTTTCCCCACCTGAAAATGAAGCAATAAAAGAAAACATATCAGCTATAGTTTCAGGAAATACACATTTGAGACAGACAATGGCATTACTCTCCTCACCTTCCCCTCAGTCACTGACAGGGATTTTGTAGGCTACCATACTATTCACTTTGTGGATTGTGGTAGTGAATGAGCGTAGACGGACTTCTTCAGAATTGGTAATGAACTGTGGTCCTGATTCTTCCCACTTTTCAGGCACGACCAAATCTTTGTCAGTATAAATCAGTAGATCAAATGAACCTAAAGTGGGAACGAGATTAAAGTACGGTGTTTTTTTAAAAAGTAAACTATTTGTCTCTCATACTTGACTCATTTTAAACCATCCATTGCTAGAAAAGATAGCTTAGCCTGGACTCTGTTATCTTCCTCAATAAGAATTTAGTTAAAACACAGTATTAGATTTTCTAGAGAAAATAGTAAAAAGAATTATGTAAAGAATTGAGTACTTTTCATTTTCTCAGCATTTCTACATGTGTGTGTACATGTAGGAGTGGTATACTCCATGTGGAGGACCAAAGTTGATGTAAAGAATTATCCTTGATTGCTTTTCCACTTTATTGAGATAAGGTCTTTCAAACCCATGATGGCTAGTTTTGCTGGCCAGCTTTCTTTGGTGATCCCCATCTATGCCTTCCAGGGCTGGAATTACAGGAAGCCCACCATACCTACCCAGATCCCTGTACTAGAATCCTAACTCAGGCCCTCACTTGCGTGGTAAACACTTTGACCACACCTCCTCATACCCACCTGTACATTTTCTAGAATACACATATACCACTTCTGCTATAAATGCTTTCCACAGCCCATTTATGCTACAAGGCACTGATAATTAAAATTTGATAAAACATTCTTAAAACAATAGTATATTTTTTTTCCCCAGCAAGCTTAAGGCAAGTTGTATAATACTTACAAGAAACTTCCAACAGTGGAAGAAATGTCACGGTAGCTGTGATTTGTCTGATCACGGAGCGAATTTCATCCTGGATAGCTTTCTGTGACTTTTCCCTAGGAGCACTATGAAAGAATCAAATCAATTCATTCATTTTAGATTTTAACAAGTTATTTAAAACATACTGGTGACTATTACAGTGAGGCTAAAAATTACTGGTTAAAAGTATCCTCAGGTTACCATATCATTGCATTTTCCCTTCAATCATCTTTTAGGGATGGTCTTACTATCAGATCTTTCAGTGTCCAATGATTAGAAAATTCCTGAACCCCTTCCACTAAGAAAAACTTCAATACCTCTAAAGTAAATAGCTTCTGAAATATTTAATTGGCATAATAATTTTGGCATTTTTATTAATGTCTAAATATTCCATCCACTGACTCAGGTAAAACAAATTGTGCATAAAATTTTTTATAAGCTAAAAATTTCCTATCGATCAAAGTCCTCAGAAGCAAACTGCTTTTCATTACAGGAACTTAACAGTAAGCCCAGAACAAGGCTAAACAATGTCATGATGGTCATTTCTGATGCAGTGTGCTCACAATCTTCCCAGTTTATGAAGGCATTTGGAAGTTCCTCACATTAAATGAAGTACAGAGGAGCTACATCTTAAGCTGGGAGCAGGTCTAGGATTATCCCATGTAGTTTAAGTACTTTTCAATACTTGATTAAATGGCCCACCTATTATATCAAGAAGTTTTGCAGATACTACCAGAAATATTGAGATCAAACTTCAAATTAAAGGCAATTATGCTAAAAGCATCTTATCTATACAAATCAATGATAGGCTAACAGAAGCCTAAGAAGTTTCTCATAGGTGACCAGATATCTTTAAAAATATACCTTAGAAACAGATTATACTTTAATTTGAACTCATGTAGCACCAGAAGTTATGAAAAGAATTAAAGTGGGAACATGTTAATTCACACTTACCTATCTTCTTTCGCAGTTTTGTCACACTCAATATCAAACTGCCATCTTTCAAGGACCTCACCACTTTCAATATTTGAGATGACTACCACCAACTTCTGAACTGAGCACTTGTACAGCCATTCTGCAACACACAAGGCATCTTTTATATTCTACTCTATTAGAAAGCAACTCATTCCTAAGCACTTACTTCCTATCCTTACCGAATTCCCATCACCGGTATTTTGGACTGCCTTTCATACATAAGGACATTTTCCCTATTAATAATCTATCTTGTTTTAAAATTCTCAATATTAGTAGCAGGTATGACGAGGGTGCCAAGGACAAGTAGTGAACTTGTACCTTCATTGTAATTCAAGGTCGGAGTGCAGGAGATGAACTTTAATATAAGCACTGTCATTAACAGCTGTGACATCACATCTGTGGTGGCTGCTGAGATATGGTACAATGAGAACATAAACATAAAACCTGACTATTCAGGGAGGTAAGGGAAGGACTGGTTTTAGTTTTAAGGAGTGGCATCATTAATGTGCAAAAGGAGAAGCACAGGCTTTAAATACTCAAAAGGGGAGAGCATATGAGCCGAGGGCTAAAGGATGGGCACACAACTGCAATGAAGAAAGGGTGAGTAACTTGGTCATTCTGAAAAATTAAGAGGCTATCCCATGCAAAATCTTATGGGAGAAATTACTGTAAATAATTTACACCTTAAGAATCAGGAAAATCATGACTGTGTTTTAAGCAGAGTACGATCAATTAACCTAGCATTTCCAAACCATATGGCCTCTCCATCAAATTAAGACATACATCCATAGCTGCCTAGAAGTTCCAGGACAAGAATACATAGAAACTTATGAATGATTACAGATGACTTAGCCCTGACCCAAGTTTGGATGAACTCTTAATGGGCTGCTCTTACTGGGATGTATCCTGTTTGCACTTGAGAGTATTTCCATATCCCCTCTAAACATCTCATCTTTACATTATGACTGTCCTAATCTACCAGAGAATTTTTAACCAAGGGCAATTCTGTCCACAAGGGATACATTTGGTAACATACAGAGCTATTGGGTAGTCACAGCCAGGAATGTTTATTGACACCTGGTGTGCAAAAGCCAAGAATACTGCCACGCATCTTATGATACACAGGAAAGCGCCCCACTAAACACCAAAATGCCAGTAAAGGTTAAGGGTAAGAAAGCCTGTAAAGAGTCAGGGAACCCTATCTTTTTTTGCCTGTGAATTCAGGCCCAACATGCACAAGTATTAACAGAGGCCATCTTAAGGCTGAGGTTAATGAGAAAGCAGCCAACACTATAACAAAACTGAAAATGACACGAAGGACTGTTATGTATGACTAATACATAAGACACAAGGCCTAACACAGAAGTCAGAAATGACAGTCGCTGATGCAATGAGCAACGTGAGAAACTAAGGAGTCTAAAAGGAAAAAAGAAACATAAAAGTGAGTAGCTGAAAAGAAAACTGCCCTGGATATTCTATTATTTAGTGATTTTAGAAACGTAGTCCCCTAGCGATGACAACCATTTTATTTGGTCTTAATTTTATAAAAACTATAGACTCTAGGTAAAAAAATTATATTAAGACTATATAGTGGATATTTTTTCAGATTAATTGACATAACTATTATTGTGTGAAAATTCCAACTTGTTGCATTCAGCATTAACTGCAAAATCCGTTTTGTTTTTTTTTTAATTGTATTTTTGAGACAGGGTCTCCCTGTGGTCCTAGCTGGCCTGGAACTAGCTAGCTGGCCTGGAACTAGACCACGCTAGCCTTGAACTCAAGAGAACCACCTGCTTCTGCCTTCTGAGTGCTGGGGTTACAGGGTGCACCACTACACCCTGCCTTGAAAAATCCATTTTTAAAGTAGTTGATAAGACATTTGTTAAGAGATGTAAGATTTCTAACATCCCATTATTCAGTCTCCTTAAAATGCAATGGAGGGAAGGACTGGGGTTTCTTCTTGTTTCTACATTATTAGCTTCCTACCAATTAATAATCACTATATTTGAGACTGTAGACTCTTAGCTACATAAAGAGCTGAAAAATGACGACTTAAAAATGTGGGTCCTAGAAGATGCAAACCTGAAAATGTTCCCAGCAATTACCTTTTAGTTGCTCCACCACATTATTGAGATACTTTATGAGCTCAGGATCAGTAGTTACAAGCAAGGTGAGTCCGTACTTCTGCACTCGGGTGAAGGTTTCTGACGGATATATGCCACGCTGATACAAAATGCTGTTGATGCCAAATGCTGAAAGCAAAGAAAAAAAAATTAAAGCTGTAAATGTGTAAACACGATTCCAAGTAAAGATACCTGCACGTATGTGGTAGTGAAAGAAAACCGTGAAATCGCAATAACCTAGAGTTGCCAAATTTCACTTCACTGCAATCCAAGTGTAAATTCAGATGGTCAGAGGACGGTCAAAATAGGAGGCGGGGACCATTGAGCAATTGAGTACCCTCTTTTTTCCCTTCTCTGCACAGGCCTAGCTCCCCGCCCCGCAGAACAGTGCATCCGCCGCCCGGGGCGGAGGCCTGCACCTGGCAGAGGCGCTAGCGGGGCAGCTGCTCGCCAGGTTGCAGCGGCTCGCAGACACAGACCCTGGCGAGCCGCAGCGCCGGCCTCCCGCGACCTCGTCGCGCCTCCGGCCTAGTTCCGCCACGCGCCGGACTCACAGAAGAACTCGGCCACGATTTCCGCGCTCCCGCGCAGGGTGATGCCTTGTTCCCGGGCGAGCTGCAGTGCCATAGCTGGGCCCACGGGCAAAAACGCTCGCTCCCACTGCGCAGACAGCTACCCAAGCGGCTCTTCGAACTGTTCCGCGCCACACTGTTCAAAAGTAACGACACAGCACCCTGGCTGCCCCCTGCGCAGGCGCGACGGGCGCTAAGCCCCACCCACACAACCAGATTCCGCCCTAAGTCCCGCCCTCTACCGGCGGATCCTGTTTTACGCTCCGCCCTCTCCGCCGGATCCCTCCCTGGCCCCGCCCCACGTCGCCAATTCCCTCCCTAAGCTCCGCCCTTTGCCGCAGTTCTTGACCTAAACCCCGCCCCAAGCCGTCGATCTCGTCCTAAATCCCGCTCAGCACCTCCCAATCTTGTCCTAAGAAGTCCCGCCCCACGTCGCTGGAACATGTCCTAAGCTCTGCCTCAAACAACCGATCCCGCCCTGGCACAGCGCTCGCCCGCAGCCTCTTTGCGCAGGCCTGCAGAGTGGACTGTGCGCTTCCTGCGCTGGTCGGGGGCTGGTAGGTTCTCGGTGGGCGGGGCTGCTGGTCGCGGAATCTTAGTGGGTACCAGGGAAAGTGGAAGGAGAAAGTGGCTTAGGCCTGTGGTCTGCGTAGCATGGAAGCACGGTATCAGTCAGACCTTCATGGATGTGTTCGAGTTGATGTGCACTGTCTCGCGATTCCGGCCGCCCAGACACAGCCGGAGAGCCTGCTGCTGTTTGGGAACGCCGCTTGTCTTGCAAAATAAGATGCAGGGGACTGGGCGGGCTAGGTGGTTCGGCAGGTAAAGGCCTGGCAACCAGAGTTCCATCCTCTGGTCCCTTCCACCTGGTGGAAGGAGAGTACTGACTCCTGCAGGTTGTCCTCTGACACATATGAATGTGTTGTTTTTTTATTATGTAAATGACCACAAATTGGTTGTTTAAAAAAACGACATAACCTAGGGCTTAGTACTTAAGACCTGCTGCTCTGTCAGAGGACCTGGGCCACGCCAGTGACAGCCATCTGCACCAGCTCCAGGGGATCTGGCGTGCTCTTTTGGCCTTTGTAGGCCTGCACGCGTATGTGCACATAGACTTTCACACACACACACACACCCCTAAAAAAACATGGTTTATTAGCTCAGAACTGTAGAAAAGAAGTCTGGGCCTGGCATGGATAGATGCTTTGGTCACACACAACTGCAATCAGAATGTCTGCAGAAGGATCTCATCTAAGGTTTAAGGTCCCTTTCCAAGCTCCCTGATTGTTGTGGCTGTTAGGCTGAGGTTCCTGTTGTCTTGACACTCCGTTTGTTGGCCTGTCTTGTATGTATGTTCATGTTCCCATGAACCTACCCTGCAGTCGGTATTCCTTTGTAAGTTGTGCCTACACTCAAAGGGAAGACATCATGCAGAATGTCCTCCTCAGAGGCCAAGAAGGTGGGTAACCTTTTAGAATTCTGCAGGTAGCAGGATTAAATATCAAATTTTCATCAGCTTGAGGAGTAGTTTGTAAATGGTTTGACTTAACCAAGTAAGAGTCTCTCTTTCTCTCTCTCTCTCTCTCTCTCTCTCTCTCTCTCTCTCTCGCTCGCTCGCTCGCTCGCTCTGTCTAATCACAATCCATGTGAAGAACTGTTGTGTTAGGAAAAGTAAGGAGGAAGTAAATGAGCGACCCAATACTTCTTCCCCTGGGAGGGTTAGGGCCAGAATTCTAACGTGACTGATAGCCCGTGATATTTTTCTCTATGCAGAAATTGAGTTTTATAGAAAAAATTAAATGACTTGATTAATTAATTTTGAGATGGGGTCTCTCTGTAGCCCCACCTGGCTTGGAACTCACTATGTAGACTGTAGTGTTACCATGCCAGATTACAATTACCTGAATAACAACCTCTTTAGTTTCTAAGAGTGGGCTTGAATTCTGATGACACCCATTCCCATGTCTCTTGGAGCTGTACCCTAGAACTATGCTTCTGGAACTGTGTTCCCAAGTCAGGCCTCACCCATAATTTTATTCAAAACCATTTCTCCAGCTTCAATTGGGGAAGTACAAGCTTGGATTCACCCTTATCAATCTTTCCTTTTCACCCCTAGTTCTAGAATACCTTATATACAAAATTTCAAGCATCTTTTGTTTTCAACGAAGATGCACTCTCTGACTTTCAAGGCTTTGGTATGTTAATTCTCAAGCATAGCCACATTGATTCCTTATTGTTTTGGGGCATAGTAGCAAATTAAGGTTCCTGGAAACAAGATCACATGCCCAGGTCATATGAACACATAGTCCAGTGAGTTTGCCAAGGTTAATTAAAGTTCATTAGTTCAGATTATGTCCATTTTATAAAAGTCATTCCTACAGTAGGCGAGGTGGACCTTGATCTCACAGAGATCCACCTGCCTCTGCCTTCTGAGCCCTGAGATTAAAGAGTGTGCACCACTGCACCCAGCCTAGAAATGAAGAACTTTGTGCTGAAACCTAACTCTTCAAGAAGAATTTCTGGAGTTTCATGGTAATGTAGTTGATAAATTTTTACAAATGCAAATAATTGTTATTATAACTTAGAGGCTCGGAAATAAAAAGACCAGCAAGATAGGTGATTTGTTTCTAACTACAGAGGAGACATTTATCAAAATATCCACTCTGAGGTAATAAAGTTTTATATATATTTATATTTAGTTTTTAAAATTGAATTTTGATGTATCTCATACACAACATCTTAATCATCTTTATACCCTCTTCCCCATCGGCACCCTCCCATAGCTGCCCCGCCCCCCCAATGAATTTCATGCATTCTGTCATTTATGTTAAGGCCTATCAGGTCAAGTTAGCATCCCATGACGTCCTTCAGTGCACGTTCAACCACTGGGGTCTAGTCAGCCTATCTAGAGTCACTCCCTTAAAGAAGATCATCTCTTCCTTCCCCAGCAGTAATCACCTGCCAATAGTTCTTTGGTTAGTATTGAGTCCTGCTGCCTATTTCCCAAGTTCTACACTAGCATTTTGTCTGCTTGTGTTTGCCTGAATCTTGTGTATGCTGACATCATTGCTGTAGATTCATCTGAGCAAGTTTGCAAGACTCTGTATCCATGTAGTCATGCACCTCCTCCTGTGACTCTTAAAATATTTTTGCACCCTCTTCCACAATGGTCCCTGAGCCCTGGGTGGGTGAACTTTAATATGGGAGTCCTGTCCCAGGACCCACACTCTGCAGACTCTTATCCTCTATGCTTTAGCCATTTGTGGCCTTTTGTATTCATTGCATTCTGTTGAGAGAATTGAGAGATGCGTTATTGTCTCTACCCCTTGTTCCACTAGCTTCTGCAAACCTTGGGTGTAGAGGTTTCATGGTAGATGTGTCACTTAGGATTGGGCATATCACAGACACTTTATTTCTTTGTGTGACCAGTTGTGGAACTTTGTAAAAGTCTCCATCTGTTGTGAACAAGGCTTCTTTGATGGGTGGTGATTGGCATACTTGTCTGTAAATATAGGATCCATATTTAGCACATACTGAGAAATTACATTTGTCTAGCGGTGTGACAGCCTTAGAGTTTTCTCTAAGATCTATGACCTCTGCAACCACATATATTTAGCTATGATTACAGTACTACACATAAGTTCCCTCCCACTGAATGGGCTTTAAGTCCAATTAGGTAACAGTTGATTTCCCCCAAGATAAAAGTGCCACTACTTCTCCAATATAGTTTACTGTGCTGATCATTATTGTAGTTATTAGGCCTTAAAGTTGGGGTTGGTCCATTGTTCTCCCTTAGCAGCTTGCATAGTGTTCTCCAAAACTATGGGAGCTAGCCTTCAGGAAGGTGGCTTCCAGATTAGTTCCAGCTCCATTGTGCCAAGTCCTGTGTCTGAATTACGTCTTGTCTTCAGCAAAAAGATCTTATCTTCAAGCTCTTAGAAGCAATCAAGGGCTGTGGCAATAGCCTTAGAAGCAGTCAGGGGCCGTAACAATAGAGTCTTTTGGACTGCTCTGGCCAACAACTCAAAGGGAGGTATCTCCTGTCAAGCACTATTGTTATATAGCCTTCAGCTATACACATGGACTCATGTAGAGATATTTTATGTGTAAATTTTTCTGTATGGTTTTGAACTAATATGTTTCCCTCTGGTTTTTAAATTTTACTTTTATTTTATGTATATGAGTGTTGTGCCTGCATGTGTGTCATGCACCAGTGTCATTCAGTGCCTGAGAGGACAGAGAGGTCATCGGATCCCCTAGAACTGGAGTTACAGATGGTGTGATGGGGCACCTCAGGACTGACCATAGCTATGCCATCTTACAGCCCTAACTGATCCCAGTGACTGAAAACTAGAGGCAGTTGATTCAAAGTGTGAATTAGAGAAGTTTGGCCCAGCTGCCCAAGGATGTGGCTTTGAGAAAATGTCAACGTGTACCTGATCACTCTTGCTAAGTGCTTGTTTTTGACTTCTGTACTTCTCTCTTGGCTTCTGCCTGCAGGAAGAAACTGTTGGGAACTTTTCCACCACTGAGCTTTCTACTCGAGCAGACAATGATGTGATTTTTTTCTGTGTAAAACCCTACCCTGAGAAAGGCTTGGAACTGCACTTGGGATCTAATGCTCAGTGTAGTTGCCGGCTGGCTATAAAGACTTTCTTCTGGCTACACTCTGTGTTTGAGAGATCTTCTCTGGTGGGACACCTGACAACAAGTGTTGTTAGTCACTATGTGGGTGTTGGGATTCGAACCCAGATCTTCTGCAAGAACAGCCAGTGCTCTTATCCACTGAGCCATCTCTCCAGCCCCACCCTCTAGCTTTTTGTACCAGTTAAGTGTTATTTATTTCTCTTCTCTGTCTTCATGTATAACCTGCCCTCCTCCCTTTCCTTCCTAGTTAAAATACCCCCATTTTCCTCTATAATAAAGTTTAGAAGGTATGATTTGTACCCTTGGAGGAATTTCTAAAGTAGTTTTAATTAAATGTATATGCTTTTTTTTTTTTTTTTGGTCTTTTTGAGACAGGGTCTCCCTGTAGCCCCAGCTGGCCTGAAACTTGCTATGTAAACCAGGCTGACCTTGAACTCACAGAGATCTGCCTGCATCTACCTCCTGAGTGCTGGAATTAAAGGTGTATGTCACCACACCTGGATATGTGTGTGTGTGTATATATATACATATATATGTAAAAAATATA